TAACACCCCCCCCCCCCCCCTGTGTCACAAACTTCCCTTTCTTAAACGACCCCCCCCCCCACACACACACACACACACCCTAGCCGGAGCGTGACGTAGGCCTACTTAATGGACGGCCACTAATGTCGTCGCAGGTGATAGTATGATACTATCAGATCAGTCACTTGTGTCGCAAGAGGGGCAGGACGGCATTTTCGGTACACTGCATACATACAGTCATACAGGGTTAAAGCAGGGAAAAGCTGTGCACAGGGCACTTTAGCAAGGCCTAATACTTTTCCCAGTGAATATATTAATAAAATTATTTTGCATGAAAAAAACGATTCTGGCACCCTCTGAAGATGGCGCCCGGGGCGTGTTCCCATTTCGCACTACTGTATGCCTACAACCTACTGACTGCTTAAGCTACACACATCACACAGTTTATAGTTTATGTTTATTAATATAATATTCATATTTTGATTTTGTAGGCCCTAGGTCGTGTGATTTTCCCGAGTTAGGAAGTCCCATGGCAAATCAGGGTGTCATCTACTACTCTAGGTAGACCAACGCATATACTACATGACATTGTCATTGGTGTGTATTACTATATATACTATACTATAATGAATGGCCACTAACGGAATGGGTGACTGACCAGGATGAGTCACTCATGGAGTTCGTACTCATTGATAATAATTGAATTAAGTTATTTTTCTGGAGAGAAAAAAAATCAAAGATATATATGGGTAGGTTAGACAACCGGCTGATTTTATTCATTGGCATGGGAGAGAACTGCCCCGTCATACCTAAGAACTTCAAATGTGTCGGTGCGTATCGATAAAATTGCTTGATACATGCAGCAAGTGCCTTTGGTTTTGTATTTTTTACTTTATATATGAACTAATTTATCTTGATATTATGTCAGGATGGCCGAGTGGTCTAAGGCGCCAGACTCAAGGTTGATACCTTCCCATGATGCATGGGATAGGGTGTTCTGGTCCACGAATGTGGGCGTGGGTTCAAATCCCACTTCTGACAATATTTTTTTAGCTTCAACTCCCACTTCTTAGTTTTATAGCAACTCAGTTCTAATTTAAAGGCACATGCACATATCACATTATACAAGTTATTTAACGTTTTTAGCACCACCCCACCCACAACCACCACCAAAAAAAGACCCAAACATTATTTTACAATATTTACTTATTGAGTAATAAAAAAACTGCAAATTATTTTGTATTAATCAAGGCTAATTTAGTAAATTTGAAAAGCAGAAACGGAGCACACAAAAACAAATGATATATTTGTTTAAATAACATTGCTCTTGACCACCCGCCACCCTGTATAACACAGTATAACAAAATGATAAACTACCCCATCCCCTTCACGTTATATTATATAACAAGCATTTGACCCATATTTTTTTTGCTTTGAACCATTATTATTTTTATGTGTAAATTAGTTGTATAGGGGACCCAATACTCTTCAGATTAATGAAGGAAATATTATTATAGTAATAGTATAAGTTATAATTACAACTCTTGAAAGTGTACGACCACATGATAGATGTTAGCAAATCAAAAGTAGTTGACTGGAACTGGACATGAGACATTTTTTTTTATTTTACACATTTGTAATATAGCCTAGTAGCCATCACTAGTGTTAATGATCATTTTTCTTTAATTAATATCATTTGAACCATCCTCCAATAAACAAGGCATAGAGACATAAAATGAGTAAAGCTATATTATAGTTTATTTACAGCAGTGTATGCTGTTTATCCATCTGATTGAATTGCAAGAAATTTTTAACATTAAATTTAAGTGCTCAACAATATGTAAAAAAGACAAGAAAACTTTGATTTGAATTTAAAGTGTACAAGTGAAATTATTTAATTAAAGGTATGAAATTTATTCAGGCTCACTAATTATTTATTCATAATAGTAGGCTGCATTTAAGGAAAATCTTTGTATCTTTTCATCATAAAATACATCATTGTCATTATTCCTGCTGGTACTTTTGGTCTATAATTGCCAATTTGGCATCATTATGGAAATGAGACTGGGAGGTTGATATGGTTAGTTTTTAAAAAAAAATGTTTAAGATCTTAAAGATGTTCGTTCTGATCCAACTGAGGAGCTGTTGGCAATTAAACTGGGTTAAAAGCACAGTTTTATTGACTCACCATTTAATAACACAAGCAGGGGGGGGGGGGGGGGGGGAGAGGAATTACTAAGAAACATTTTTATTAACATTTATGAAATTTGCGTCAAACACCAAGGCCTAAAAGTCTCACTAAATAAAACAAAAAAATCATGCTCTTCATTAACAAATATTATTCTTTAAGAAATGTCCAATCCCTCTTAAAACTCCATAGCTTATTCAAAAAGTACAAGATAAAAAAAACACAATATTTATCTAGGGTTCTTTATTTCCAGAAAGCTGATATTTTTCTACAGCTTTCTCTTCTCTTAAGTCACTCATGATGAGTCCTCACAAAGACAAACTCCCTCCCAAGAAAATGTCAGTATTTACAAACTCAACTTAAAGTTATTATAGTAATTCATTTTAATATTTCTAAACAGGTCATCTTTATCTTGAGTCTCCTTTCATCTGTTGCAAATATTCCTCATATGTTATGCTTTGACCATGCTTGACTTCATTATAATATTTCTTCTGAATGAATTTTCTTCCAGAGTAGCCACAAACTCCAACTTCTGGTTTATCCTGCAAAAAATAAATTAATTTTTAAAATTTATTTTGCCTTGTAAAAAAAAAAAAAAAATATTCATATTCAGCTGTTTCATTCACGTTTCATTCAGAAATACTTTAAACTTTGAAATATACTTTGGCCACCTGACATAATTTTACAGATGAGACCAAAGACAAAACATTTATTTCCCAACCCCAAACTCAAGAATAGTTACTAAACTGACCTATATTACATAAATTAGTCTTCCAAAATTCAACAACTCTAAATTAATTAAACGTGTTAATAAAACATGTATATTATGAAAACACCTGCATTATAAAAGCACATTTTTTAATGTGGCTAGCACAATTTTAAAAAGACAAATGTATAATCTGTTTAATATTCTTATAACTTTTAGGTAACTCAGAAGTAGGTTAAAATGCTCCATTTTCACTTGCAAACATCTAAAAGTTTCTAATCCTTGAAAAGAAATTATTTTAAAATAGTACAATTATAATTTTAAACATACATTTAGAGCAGGCAATTTTTAAAGTTGTCCATTACAGACTTAACATAATTAATCTAATCAGGTGACATGAGTATAACAAGTCGCAAATTTAAAAACAATTTAGTTGTCATCTCAACTTCATTAAATAAGGAGATTGGAAACTTCTTTTAAAACGCTGGTCTATATTATAAAGAAGTGGTCAGCAAACCACAGCTCAGGACCAAAATGCAGCTTCCAAAAATATTTTCTTGACAATTAACAGTGAACAAATATAATTTACTCAAAATTTGTTTCCAGCCCCTGTGACAGGTAATCATTGTATTATTCCAAGCAGTGGTGTATCGAGGGCTGGTGTCAGCTGGTGCAGTAAACTCATGGTGTCACCCCCCCCCCCCACCTGCCCCAATGGATTCCTTGTTGTTTAAAATAAGAGTCCACAGTATAACAAAAACAAGGAAAAAAACAAACAATGACAGGTAATCATTGTATTATTCCAAGCAGTGGTGTATCGAGGGCTGGTGTCAGCTGGTGCAGTAAACTCATGGTGTCACCCCCCCCCCAACTGCCACAATGGATTTCTTGTTGTTTAAAATAAGAGTCCACAGTATAACAAAGACAAGGAAAAAAACAAACAAATTAATTAAATGGTCAGGAGGTAAATGTATTTAAGAACCGTAACATGTACTTAGAAAATTCCGACCACATCGTATTTGGTATCAATGGAAGCTTTATTTCTCAGAATTTAGATAAATATTGCTTCTTGTCACTTACAAAAGTTACAAAACACTTCAATTGGCATTGAATCATAGTCATAATGGTGTTTTTCTGACCTAATTTATAGGTTCCCCTCATTTCTGACGCATCAACCCTGAACGTTTAACAAAGCACGCATTTGATTGGTTACATGTGTGGAAAGTTTACATGTGATCGGTTATCCTTTTATGAAATTTGGTTAGACTCATGTGTGTGCTCATGTGCTCTGTAAATATGCATTTTTTACAATTTGGTGTCACCCGCCTTAGATGGAGTCCCCCAGTGCAGTCCGCACCCCCCTAGCTACACCACTGATTCCAAGTCTTGACTACAATACTTTATGCATTATGGTAATGGAAAAGTAACTAAACCAAGTGTGAGGGCATGCAAGTTTATAAAGGGAAACAATATTGTTTAGGAAGTTTGGTTGCTCATAGCAAATACTCCAGTGCTCCAGCTCTTATTCCAAAAGCCCATTGGACTCAAGCTGATTTTAAGGCTGGCATAACTGTTTTAAGATATACTTCTTTCCTTCCTAAGTATACACTTGAAATAGTCGAGGTTTCTGTTCATTTTCTAGCATTCTGAATTGTTTCTTTTCCTCTTCAATTTAATTTAAATTTGTAACTTAAATGACTTGATCCATTTGAAACATAATTTTATGAGATTTAACTCTTTCACTGCAGCACAACGCACAGTGCGTTCATCAGTCATTCTAAAAAGCACTTACCAACACGCTCTGCGTTGTTTCAATATCATGATTGTTTCTTTGCTATTTCTCAGTTAAACTTTTTAAGAGCTATTCTTAAATAAGACTTTTACATAGAAGATTGGTTATTCCTTATTTATAAGCCAAACAAAGGTTTATTTGTTGTCATTTGAAAAATTTTAAAAATTATTTTCTTCGCTATTTTTTTCTAATGCTGCTATGGCTACCCTAGGCCCGAGTAGGTGAGTAAGTTTCCTAGACGATTAAAAGCTCAAAAAGCTTTTGAATTGTTTTAAACTATTTCTTTTGATAGTGAAGATGCTTTATACTTCGATTTAGATCCATTGCATGATTCCGATAGAAGTAGTTTTGGAGGATTTGAGTTATAGAGGTGAAGAAGAGGTACACCATAGGGTTTTGGGAAAAATGGTTTAGTACATAATGTTTTCACATTTTATGGTTCTTTTCTGTTACTTATTTTATTTAAACTGAAGAAATAAGTTTACACACATATAGTCCATTCAATTATCTTTCATCTGATACCAAATTTAGTCTTATAAACCAAAAAATAATATTTTAAATATTTTTTTAATAAACCCAACCTCTCACTGTTTTTTGTTCTTTGAAAAAAATGTACATTTTTTCGATTTAAAAATTCTGCAGCGTAGGAGTTAAGGTATTAAATTAAATAAGAAACAAACCAGATTAATGTAAACTTTAGGGTGACCCAAGGCTCCACAGCTGTTTGACCATACATGGTTTGCATTTACCACCACAACTGGATCCTCGGCAATCAAATTAATTGCCCATTGGGAATTTATCTAAGATGAGAAAGGAATTAAGTTACAGTAGAAAACAGTAAGATTTTACATAGGCATATGGTTCAAATGTTTACTTAAAATAACTTTACAATGATAGTTTACATGTTTTTAATAATTGTAAAGGGCTTAGAGCTTTAAGGTAAGCACAATATAAAAATGCCTAAATAAATAAATAAAAATAATAGTAGTAGAACAAATGAAGAATACATTATCAGTCTTTACCTACTGTGTGTCAATACATCAGCTTTTAAAATAGGTGTGTTGATAGAATTACAATATATTGACTTTACTAAATGGTTTATTTTTTTCCTTTTATGATCTTTTCTTTTTTTCATTTAACTTACAATCAAGCAAATATAAAACTTTTACTTCCCATGAAACAAAATTATAAATTGTGGAAGCATCTTTAAATCATATATTTCATAAACTAAAATGAATTAGATGTAAAATTACTAGCCTTTCAAAGGGAAGTGAGATTTTTCAATTACCACTCACATTCCAAATAAATTTTTTAATAAAAATTACTTCAAACTATGCAATTTATTATTAAAATTTTCATTATTGACTTAAAAATCAAAATCAATGCATTCCAATTAGGAGACAAAAATTTTTTAATCTCTATATAAAAAAAAATTGCATAATTTTCTTTAATGCATCGGAATTTAAGTCAATCTAAATGCAGACATAAAAATGTATGTATGCAATGAGTAAAGTTGCACAAATTAAAAATACTTTTCATCAAAGATGAAGTAAATGATATTGAAGAAAACATTACCAGTTTATCTTTATCTACAAAGCGAAGGTTTCTGTAATCATCTTTCTCCCACAGCTAGTAAAAATAAATACATACAAATTACATAATAAATATAGTAATACATTACAGTAAATATGACACCTGATGATGTGATATTAATATATGTGACTCATTGACATTTCTAACCTCTTTTCTTAAAAAATTTCATTGTAACACCTAAATAAATATTATACTTCTCTCTTCATCTCAACTTTTAAAATTCCTAACTACTGCAATTAGAGTATGCATTATCATTAAAATTGGGTTAATAAAATGTACGCTTCACGGTTCCACCGTTTGCACTAGGTCGTCATAGATTTTAGATTAGAAGATTTATGTTCACGTTAGGGGGACTAAATTTAGGGTCAAATTTACACTGCCTGTACACTTGCTATAGGCTTAAAAAGATCCTGAACATCAAAATGGCCAAACATCATCACCAACAAAGACTTAATGGAAAGGACATATTATGAGCATATTGCTGAAGACAGCATAAGGAAAAGTTCGAGTTGGTTAGGGCACACTCTTCGTTAACCCCCAGATAACATCACCAGACAATCCCGAACATGGAATCCACAAATAAAAAGAAATAGAGGAATGCCAAAGAATATATAGAGACGTGAGCTAGAGGCCAGATGAACAATGTATGGGATAAACCTGGAAGGAAGAGGAAAGGAAAACACAGGGACGAGATTAAAGGAAAATTCTTGAAGATGGCCTTTGCCCCAGGCAGGGTAAAAGGCATAAATGTAAGTTAGGGATACTGACTAAGCATTCACGTTAGATAGAGCTGTAGATTTCAGATTTGAAGGTTGTTGTGCAACTTTAAAAAAATAAAATTTGCATGATATTTGTTTATTGTAAACTTTTTCTCCCTTTAGAATGTGTTGATTTTCAACTTTTTTTCCATCATTCTTAAATATTCTTTAATACTATAATTTAACGCAAGTTTAAAAATGTATTTTTTTAAATGTTCTTCTTTAAATTTAAAATTACCTAAGCTAAGCCATTCTCATCATTTTCCTTTGTCTCTGCCTCTGTAATTAGCTAAAAGACATTCTCATCCTGAAGACTTCCTTTCTCCTTTCCACTTTTTAATTTTAGTACCTGTGTTTTTCACTACTTTTTTCACATGGCTGTCAACTTTGCCTACTGTCATGGCAAAAAAGATTGTGGCCATGTAAAAAATGTAGTTCAGAAACACTGTTCTGTGTAAACTGTAGATGGTCTAAATCTAAATAGTGGGAATGGGAGTAAATTTACTGGTATTTTCAGACATTCAATGCCACGCCACCATCTTACTAACTTAGTCAGTTGCTACGACCCGTGAAAGGTCACCCTAAACTGGCCTAAACAATATCCCTAAACCTAACCTGAACCCTATGACTATGAACTCATAACCATTAAGTTAAATAAACTTGTAAATGAAATGACATCATCACTGCCCGAACTGGCTTTAGCCCAATCAATTTACTTTTGAATTTACAAAACAATCTAATCATAGTCCATAGTGCTATAGTACCCTATGCCTATATTATACTATACTATATAGGTATATAGTATATTAGGCTTACTACTGCCAACATTATTTTATTCTACATCATCAGGGGTCATTATCTGATTTGACATTCATAACAATAACATGTAAATGTTTATGTTAAAACTTTCATTTTCAGAAACATCAGTAAATGTAATGTCTGAGTCAGTGATCATATTTCAGCGATTAATTGTTGAGAGTGACCGACCGAGTGGAGTTTTGGGTAGACCGAGTCTTGGTCTTGACTAAAGACTTCATTCAATTATTCAATGACTTGCTACTTGCTTGTGTTGACAACATGAACTGAACATGTGATAAGTTTGCGTGTTTTGAGTGAATGAATAATGGTATTTTAATTCTTACCTGTCCTGTATGTGTAGGCTTATTAGTGTTAGGTCCTTCATTAATGAAATGGCAAGCTGATAGCGACAGTGATCGCAAGCTCAGTGGAACAGTAAGTTTTCTTTTGGATAAGATTCTAAGGACAGCAGCCATCTTTGTTACGATGCGACCTTCAGTACTTCTGTTCTCGCCCAGCTTAGTAAATGGGAGCCTATTCTGACATAGAAATCTATAAAAACAAATTTGTTCGGTGACCTCCCGTATTTCCAGAAATTCTCTAAAACAATTAAATATAACTGAATATAGTCCGCCAAACATTTGCGGCATCAATGCGTGAACTTCTCATTTACTAAAGTTACTTGACAAAACATGAACTCAAGTAATGCACATTTAAGAATCCCAATATTATCTACGCCCCTTCCCCCATGATATGTCACAGCACACTTTTATTTCATGCCCATGACTTAATTAAAAGCAGCAGAGTGTTGTCTACAAGTTGGAAAATTCTTTGACTTTGTTCAGCGCCCAGCTTCTACATATCGATGTAATATTCTGGTATCTTCTTTAGCAAAAATCTCTCGTTGTCTGACACAAGATGGTCGGCACATTTTGATGCCGTCAACGTTTTGAAAAAAATACAAGATGCTCTGGACTCAGTATCAGCTGACACTGATCGGGAAAAGAAAAAACGAGGCGTGAGGCAGATAAACTAAGTAATAAAATGGAGAACCTGATAATTTATCATCATATGGGATGAATTATAATGTACTTCTGATAATGTTTTAAAACCATTATTGAATTGGAATGATTTTGTTTTTGTATAAATAAGTTGAATTAACTTATTTTCAACTTTATTGAAAATTTATTCTTATTTTACAATTTTATTCCTCTTGGTGAGTTGGGTTGGGAGCAACAACTGTTTGTGCCTCCCCCTCCCCCACTGTTTGAGGATGGGGCGAAAGCCCCACTTCACCCCCCCCTTCTAACGACCCTGGTGTGTTGTGTTGCTGGGGGCCCCAGTGCATTGCTGTGCCCAGGGCCCCTTATTTTCTTAAGACGGCCCTGATCGCGACACAAGTGCTTCGTACTCCCGACAAAGACGCTTGCCCTTATTGTTTCAAGATGGTAGCTGAGAATAGATGCTGGAAGATCAGATTGTAGCTTCAGATCAGGAATCACGGTATGTTTACATGCAACGGCGGTTCTACGATGAACTTTCTCAATGACGAGCCAATACAGCCACAAAACCGCGTTTCTCTAACGGAAACTAGTTACCAAAAATTGGTGGATGACGTGACAATGCCTCGGATGACAGATCAGAAAAAACCACGAGACTCTTGGCTGCTGAAATGCTATGATGTAATGGCGGTAGAGAACAACAGTAAGTTGATATATCCTTTTGAAGAAGGCGACAATGCTATTCATTTCTATGTCACGGATTCTGAATTATTTGACGAGGCTCATTTGGCCGTGGGACAAGAACGAATGGACAGAATGTTGAAAGAATTTTCACACAAGTATAAAAACATTGCACGTAATTATATTGAACTTTACCTCCACCTTTGTGAGCCGTGCCAGAAGAAACAAAAAGGTGTCAAAAAGGGTGTTGTGGTAAAGCTATGATTTTTTCGAATTCAACTCCCGTGGTCAGGTCAATCTTATCGAGTTTTAGTCCCATTCTTACAGGGAATATAAATTTTTAATGGTGTACCAAGATCATCTCACAAAGTTTGTGGTTCTGGGGACTTTAACAGCAAAGAGGGCGGAAGAGGTAGCCTACACACTAGTGGAAATATTTACGTTGCTTGGAGCCCCATTAATTCTACAGTCAGATAATGGCCGGGAATTTACCAACCATGTGGTGAACAGCCTAAGGGAGTACTGGCCCAAGTTGTAGATCGTCCATGGTAAACCGCGCCACTCACAAAGCCAGGGCAGTGTCGAAAGAGCTAATCGAGACATCGAAAACATGCTATGTGTTTGGATGCAAGATGAAAAAAACTGACCACTGGGATGATGGATTACGATTCATCCAACTTATGAAGAACAGGACCCTTCATTCTGGGATTAAGAGAACGCCTTATGAAGCTATGTTTAGCTGCAAAGCTAAAGTGGGCATCGCAACGTCTTCCCTACCCCCTGACGTTTTGCAAGACATACAGACTGAGGAAGAACTCGTAAAAAATAATAGTAATAGAAAGCGTAAAAACAACACAGCAGGAAGAAGCAAATCGTTAGATGCAAGATACAAAGCCTACTACACAGAATACTGAAGAGAATGCAACAAATAATGGAGGAAACCAAACTGATTGTGACATCATGGTTACCGAAGAGCCTTCCACTTCTGGTGTTTGTTGTGTATGCTTAAAAGAAAGCAGCGCTGCCCATACATGCCGAAATTATCATCGTAATGTTCATTTTATCTGTGGGCATGCTGCTAAAGACGATGGAGACAAGGAAATAGAAGGTTATGGTGTTGGTATTTTGTGCAGCTTTTGTTTCAAGATGGAGAGAGCTGTAGAGGCTAGAAAAGAATCTAAATCGAACCCTGAAATCCAGGCCAAAAAAATAAAAACAAACTCTGACAAAAAATTCCCTCCTGCACCTTTAGGAGCCACCGTGCGAGTTCCTATTCCTGATGTTGACAAGGGACGGGGTGACTCGCGCAGTCTGTTGGCAGTTGTTATGACAGAGACGACTGTTACCGACTTGTAACTGCACACGGAATCTTGAAACAATTGTATTCAAGATCACAGTTCCCTGTATGTACAAAAGATTTGAGAGTTGAAGACGTCCCTGACCATAAAATACATCTCCGATCCCGCTGCTATCTCTCAGTCAACAGGAAGCGGTCAAGGATTCGTGAGGTGTATGTGCAAGACCAAGTGCCAAAACATGAAGTGTCTTTGTGTGAAAAATAAAATTAAGTGCAATTCAAAATGCCACTCCAGCCTTAGTTGCTGCAACAAGTAGCTCAATGACACCTTTGCTTTCCCGTTAAATTGTTATCTTTCTTTTTCAAACAAAAACATTTTATCTTTAGGCTTTTTTCAAACTTTGCCTGAATTATATTTGTCATACATAATACCTAGGCAATGTATAAAATGCCTAGGCAAAGTATGTAACTTAATCACGAAAATAAAATATTTCATACTTTGCCTAAAACCGCCAGGCATTCTATACAATGCCTGCATTTCATACATTGCCGGTAACATATTCTTCTTTCAAATTGGATAAAGGGAGGGTAACAACTAACATGCGAAAAAAAATTATTTAGGGGTAAGGACTTTAAACATTTGTTGTATATTAGTGATATACCTACATGAAAATGGAATTTAATCAATAATTTAGATTTTGTACAATTCCACATAAAAGTATGCCGTCAGGAAAGTTAATTTATTTTTCTAACAATAATGCTCCCCTGAATGATTTAGATCTAATGAAAAAAGTAAAGGATAAAACTGCAGTAGTTCATATCTTATATTATAATAAATATCCCCATACAAACAAACAAGTTTTTAAAAAAGATACAATTTCAAAAACAGATTTTTACAAAAATGTAAAATAAATGAAGTCGAAGACAGCAACTATCTTAAGTTTCCTATCATTATTTAATTCTCGTAGCAAACTTGAACGATTTTACTACCAAACATTCATAAACCATACATCATACTTTTAATCTCAGTCTACAACAGCTTTATAAACAGTTTCTACAACGGCTAACATACATTTGTCAAAACTTTGTAAATTAATTAGTTATATTAAATTTATTAAATAATCTAAACGCATTGTCCATATTTATTAATTCAAAGTTCTTAATTTTTTTCACACTTTTCAAGTAGTTAAAGTAATTTTAATAAATATAAAAATAATAATTAAATCAATAAGCAGTGAAAACGTTAAATTTCTGTTTTCCAAATCTATTTTATGTCATTAGTTGTAGGATCCCTTTTCTTTATAAGTTGGGTTAGCATCTTCTTCTCTGATTACTGAAATGAGAAAACATTAAATTTTTTAAACTACCAGCACCTTGTATTTATGTATGTTTAAAATATAATTGTACTATATCTTGGGGGAAAAAAATGTTTAAAGTGTAAATTATCATTTGTAATTGCATTGTAAATAAATAAACACCCAACTACTCAAAGTTCCTTCTTCTATATCTTAAGGGCCCACGATCAATTTATTGATCATTTAAGTGCCAAAAAAAAAAAAAGACCTATAAAGTTACTTGATTATTGTATTTAAATGTATTAAAAAGGCAACAAACCTGTGTATGTCCATCTATGTTTATGAAATGTGTCTCTATCATATTTTCGCCAAGCATTTGCTAATCCAAGCCATCCTGGAGATATTTTGAAATAAATGTAAAAAAACTAATTTATCTTAAATAATAAGATACTTTGTCATAAATAACAAAAGGTTATGTCATCATCTTCATTCTAATTTTTTGACCATTAAAAAGTTTGCTGCTCTTCCTCAGTTGGTCTGTTTCTGTGTATAGGGCACAGGTGCCTATCCATTTTTCAGTCACAACCAAATTTTATAGAAGCGCAGTCATCAGCTGCCCCGAGGCATTTAAAAAACCATCAATATGGTAACACCACATACAAAATATATGCAGTGTTATGAAATTATTCAAACTTTATGAAGACACCAATTAAAAATGAACATTAGTTTACAATCATTATTCTTTGATAAGATTACTCTTTCAGATGGTGAACCCCCCCCCCCCCAACTTCTTTTCCAAACTCCCTGGCTACCCAATTTGGGGTCACAGTCCTGTCACAAAATGCTTGTTACTGAGAAGGGCTCCAGTCCTGACTTATCACAAACTATTTTGACAAAGTAATTTCAGTACAGGATTGCTCCTCTCGGCAATTTATATGTGTGCTTTCTTGTCAATGAGACAAACAAAAGCACAATGTATACTTGAATTAATCCAAACAACTCCAGGTGTCCAGATGATGAAATAGTATGTATTTATTACTAATATAAAAAACTCTTCTGTAGTCCTCACTAATTGTCAACCATCTCCATGTTCCTATATACCTATAGCTCAATAACTTGACTGTTTTAACTCTGCTATCTCTACTACAATCAACTGTATGGTCTCAACTAATCCACTGTCCAACTGTCATCCCATCTGATCTCTCTCAACTGTTCCAGTGTCCCCAAATCTCTAGCTTTTATCTACCCC